AAGCAGCGGCCAAGCCACTTCAGCAGACAAGTTTTTGGGAAAAAAAAAAAAAAAAAGAGATGAGACGGCAGGCTTCCAGAGCAAACAGCGGCCAAGCTACTTCAGCAGACAAGGCAGCACCATGAGTAGTCAAGTTTGCCAAACAGCACCCAAGCTACTTCAGTAGTCTTAGTCTAGATTCGGCCTTTTTTCGTAGGCTTCTGCCGCACGAATGTATGCATCTAGCTATACTGTTTTTGGGTTAAATTCATCAATTCTGTAAGTCCTTTCTGCACAAGTTGTATACATCTTGGCACAGTTTTAGGCTAGATTCATTAAGCTAGCAGGTCTTTTGCTCACAAGTTGGAAACATACGCGCATTTCGCCGAGCGATTGTCCCTAATTGCTGATGGATTTGGCTGTAACTGCCACATCGCCTGCGTTGCATCGTTTGTGCATTTACCTCATTTACCTCATGTTCTGTTTGCGACTCTTTTGCTTGGTTTTTCATTTATCTTCATTTTCCTCTGCCGCTGCGAATGGCTACATATACAGATATAAGGTTGTCTCTAGACTCGACGTATTTTTTAAAAGATGCTGATGCCGAGTGAGAGTGGTGTGTGCAGATAGTCCACCACTCAACTTTGCGTCTACTTTCGATTCTAATTTCCTGGATCGATCGATGATGACTCCAGTCGTAATTAATTATGATATTTGTTTGTCGACAACCGGCGAATGTGTTTTTATAATTTTATTCGAGTAATTACTAATTAGTAATTACTTCAATTACACCTATTCCGGATGAATCAAATCATAGTAATTACTTCAATTACACCTATTCCGGATGAATCAAATCATATTATTTGATTTGACCTTCGGAAAATCCATATATAATATGTACTATATACCTAGGCTACCAGCCGGGCCACCCGGGTTACCCTATTTTCCCGGGCGGCCCGGCCGTGCAAGGACTAGGGAAGGTCCCAGCCAAAAAAAAAACAAAAATGAAAAAAAAAAAACAAATCCGAAAAAAACTATGTTATGCAAAAAAATAAACTGAACAACTTTTGCCTCAGGGTCACATCGAAATGACAGCCTTCTGCAAAACGCTACCTCTCAGATCTGTGTTAACGGGGTCCTCTCAGCACCGATTAAGCTAACCAGGTCGGTCAGGCAGGGGTGCCCGGTAGCGCCCTACTTGTACCTCCTCTATGTGGAGATTATGCATATAATGATAAGGTCGAACCCGGAAAGTCCAGGTTTTGCTCTACCCTCAGGAGATATCCTGAAAACAGAAGCGTTTGCTGATGATTCGGTAGCATTCTCCCCCTTGACTGACCATGCCTTTTTCGCGCTCAGGGACACCATAGAGCTGTTTTGCCACTTGTCACAAGCCCAGGTCAACTGGTCTAAATCATCTGCTCTAATCCCTCCGGGAGAGCAGCCTCCGCACAACTGGGGAGTCAGGATAGTTGCCCCGGACACGTCTGAAAGAATGCTTGGCCACCAAGTGTCGTTTGATCCGCAATTGAATCAAGACCCGTCTACCTCGATAGCGGGCCTGCGTTCGGCGCTGCAACCATTGGTCAAATACAAGGGAGCCAGTTTATTTGGAAGAGCCATAGTGATTAACAATGCTGTGTTGTCTACTTTATGGTTTTGTAGATCGATTTATCAGCTTGATCCTTCGGCCTTACAGACGATACGACATCTGTTGACTCACTACCTGTGGAGAGAGGAGCTCAGTGCTGACAATTTTTTGCCAAAAGCGGCATGGCAGATCATCACTCAACCAAAACGGAAAGGCGGACTGGCCATTCTAGACCCTGAACGACAAATTGCGGCGCTCCTTGCGAGGTGGGTGCCGTGGGCCATTTTGGAAAAGCCCTTATACGCCGTGGCGTCAGTTAGCAGAATTTTCACTGTTCTCCTGGTTGGACTGGGCAGATCTCAGATGTGTATGGTTAACGGTTCTTATTCCGGACTATCAGCGGAAGAGACTGGCCCAGGGTGTGTGGGCAGGGATATTGAAAGCTTGGAGAAGAGGTTGCCCCAAATTGCAGCACCCTCCGCTTATTTTTGAGAGAATAATGACGCAGCCCTTATTCAATAATCCCTTCTTGCTCAACCTGCAGGGACTTCCTTTTGGATGTTTTGGACCACGAGAGTTTGGGAATGCTTGGATGTCTCATGGGATTGGAACCATCGCTGATATTTGGGATGTGACTACTGCTGATTGGAAAACTGTAGAATCTTTAGCCCCGAGACTGCTTGGATTGTGGCGGCAGGAGGAGCACTTGGAACAGGAGGAGCAAAATGCTGTTCCACAGCAATGGGTGCACACATTAAGAATGGGACTCAGGCTGGCTAAAGGAATGTGGTATAAACAGGCTCAACAGCATATGCCTGATTGCATTTGGAAAATTGAAGATTACTCGGAAGTGGTGGAAATCCCGATCACCTGTTGGCAGGTGCGAGGAGGCGCCGATTCCTTGGGAGAGCCTCTGTTGTACTCTGAGGAGCAGCTTCCCCTTCCTCCTGTTGAACAGCTGTTGCCAGTTTGTGTGTCGGAGCAGAAACAAAGGTATAGACCCTTCTCCTTGCAGAAGCCTGCGTATAATTTGCCCATTGACCCGCGTAATTGGGCGTGGGAGCACCCGCTGCGTCGCAATGAAGTGGTCACTCTGTCAGAATACACCACCAAGCTGGGCTACCAAATAATGACTCCGCCGATTGATGTCAACTGGACAGTGGCTAGAAGATGGATGGCGACAGGGTGGGTGGCAGACACTGTGACAAGGTTGTCTGCAGCACTCCCGGGCTTTTGGAAGCAGCTGATGGACTTGGTGGTGAGTACGCATTCAAGCCTATTTTGGTTGCTGATGCATTTGCCGGTTAATACTTGGTGCGCCAAAAGAACAGTGAAGGCAACACCGGAATGTCGGATATGCCTGGGAACTCGGATGGAAGATATCCAACACTTCGTGCTACAATGCGACCTTTCTTGGCCATTTTGGGATTGGTGGAGACACTCGGGTGTGCTAGTACCGGGGGTGGCAACCCGTTGGGACGACGGTTTCATCCTGTTGGGGATAGCTGCCAGGAGAACTAGACCACTCTTACAATATGGTCACGCGGAAGAGACTATTAGAGGTGCCATTATATGGGCCCTGTGGAATCTCAGGAATGGCAGGGTGAGGAGAGATGAGCTCTTGACACCACCAATGGTCAGAGCAGAGATTAAATATTCCATTAAGCAGGCCATATCAGCAGAGTGGGAATATCGTGTCCAGAAAAAGGGCTATTCGGCCAAGTCCATCAAGTGGTTTGGAAGTAGATGGGGAGCCTTTTCGGGACTTGTCACTGGAGACACACCGTTGGATGAGCCACCAGTGTTGAAGTTTTCTCCTTTCTTTGTGTGATTGCTGTTTAGTCTACTTTGGCTTACTTTAGGCCTCTCAGGTTAGCAGACTCTTAGTTTTGTTTCTAGTTTCGTTCCTAGTTTTGGTTTTAGTATTGGGTTTAGTTTTAGTTTTAGCTTTGTTTCACTTCTGGTTTTGTCAAACTGTGTCCTTGCTTGAGCTGTTGCATCATTCAAAACTGGAATCGACCCGTGGTCGGATGGGCAAGGTCGGGAGTGCCTTACCCAGCCACATGGCCTACGTAACAAATGTAAGGGACGCCGGACCCGGTTTCCGGCCATAATGAAAACAGGACACTTGTTGGGTTAAAATATATATATATATATATATATATATATATATATATATATATATATATATATATATATTATTATTTTTTAAATAGTTTTTAACTTTTTATTTTTTT